GTGTCGCTTCCCAATACTAAGCTGACAATATAATAGCTGCTTCGGTATCCGCGTCGAATCGACACGGCTCCCATGACTGAGCCAAATCAGGTGTCTCAATAAAAGTATGCAGTCCACTGCATATATATATATATATATATATATATATATATATATATATATATATATATATATGGAAAAAGGTATAGGGTTAGCGGCAAACACGGAACGAGAAGGGTTTATCATGACGACATGCATGATCAATTCTGTACCCAGCTATCCTCCTTGATACGGCCTGTGCCGATTAGCGACCGACTATTTCTGCGGGGTGCTTTCAGAGCGCGCGTTGGGCGTAATGCATCGGTGTGGATAGATGGTATCGGTCCGCATGGCATTGGTTCAGCGAATGCGATCGGTGACAGGCTGCTCTCACTGTGTGCCACTCACGGCCCGACGATCACGAACGCTCGGTTTGCACTGAGTGCGAGTGATGCAGCAATTTGGACACACCCACGGAGTGGTCACGTTCACCTACTCGACTATGTCATCGTACGTCAGCGTGATATGCGTGAAGTGCGCATAACACGTGTACTGCGTGGCGGTAAGGGTGTCAGTGATCACAAATTGGTACGCACCAAACTGTACATATATTTTCGTAAATCTATGTATTATACTCCCGCCGTGAACCGGTGTAAATATAACATTCTCTCCCTCGGTGTTGGGGCGAAACGTACTGAGCTGGAGAAGCCGATGGCTGCACGTCTGTGTGACGTGGAATGCATAGCCACAGTGGGCGACCTGTGGCACCACATTCGCGACCAGGTGACAGCTGCTGCCGAGGAGACCATTGGTCGCGCAAACTCTAAGCGGCCTGATTGGTTTGATGAGAACAATGCGACGATTGGCGCATTGGTGTCGGAGAAGAATTCAGCATTTGCTGCACATGTGGCAGACCCCAGTGAATTGGGGAAGAAGAGTCAGTTTCGCAAACTTCGACGGCGACTGACCCGAGAGCTCCGTCGCATTAAAAATGCATGGTGAACGGAGAAGGCGAAGCAGATGGGATGCTACGCCGAACGCCGCCAACACAAGGAATTCTTTGACTCCTTGAAAGCGGTGTATTGGCCGAGATTAGAGCCGCTGAGAACGCTGATCGATGGTAGTTCAGGCGCTACCTGCACATAGACTACAGACTTAAGGCAGATCTGGCGAAAACACTTTGATTGTCTCTTGTGCAACCGTTCAGAGATCGACTGGCCTACATTGAACTGCCTGAAGCAGCACGATGTGAAGACGAGTCTGGCGGACAAGTCGACGCTGGATGAGACGCAGAGAGTACTTGCTCAGCTGCGAAACGGCAAGTGTGCTGGGGCCGACGGGATCCCACCTGAAGTACTGAAACACGGCGGACCCGTGTTGGTGACTGCACTGCACCACTTGGTGCAACGTGTATGAATTGAGGAGGAGGTGCCTCTTGAGCTGAAGGATGCCCTTGTGCTACCACTGTACAAGGGTAAAGGTAGCAAGCAATGTTGCACGAATTATCGTAGCATCAACTTGCTGAGTTGTGTGGGCAAGGTGATTACCCGAATCCTGCTCAACTGCCTCGTCAGTCATCTTGTGGGACCTAACGTGGCGGATGAGCAATGTGGATTCCGTTCGGGTCGCTGCACTATAGATATGGTGTTTTCGGCTCGTCAGTTGCAGGAGAGGTGCAGCGAACGACACCAAGCATTGTACTCGCTTTTTGTTGATTTCACAAAGGCATTTGATACGGTGAACCGCGAGGCATTATGTCTGGTGTTGGATAAGTTTGGTTGCCCGCGTAAGTTTGTAAGTTTAATTGAATGTCTGCACAGTGGTATGCTAGCGATGGTGCAGCTGAGTGGAGAGACATCGGATGATTTTGCATTTGTCTCTGGTGTGAAGCAAGGCTGTGTCTTAGCTCCTGCCCTGTTTACTATATATCTTCATGCAAAGCTGTCCTGTGCTTTTGAATCGGCTCGTGCTTACGGTGTTCGTGTGGAGCACCGTATTGATTTTGGTTGCTGAACATCCGTCGTTTCGGTGCGAGAATTTTAGTCTGTGAGAGAACTATCCGTATGTTGCCGTTTGCTGACGACTGTGCGTTATTTTCACACAGCGCGGATGAGTTGCAGCATATGACTAGTGCTCTGGCTTCGACAGTGGCCAAATTCGGACTCGCCATCAACACAAGCAAAACTGTTTGTCTCTTTCAGCCTCCACCGGAGGTGCAAGCTTCAATATTGTCGCAAAACAGCATTGATGCAGAAGTATTAGAAACAACCTCCCGCTTCTGCTACCTTGGGAGTGTGATGTCGACTGATCAGCAGATACACAGTGAACTTCGTATCCGCGTCTCGAAGGCAGCGGCGGCATTCGGGAAGCTAGAGCACCGAGTATGGAACAACCATCAGCTTACCAATGGCACGAAGCGGATGGTTTACAATTGCATGATGTTGTCCGTTCTTCTATACGACAGTGAAACGTGGAAGATGTACCGTCGGGATGTGCGATATCTCTAGCGGTTCCATCAGCAGTGCTTACTGCGAATTTTGCGCATCGATTGGGGCGACAGAGTTACAGACACGGAAGTGTTGCGACAAAGTGGAATTGATGCAGTGGACTGCATACTTTTGCTGAGACACCTGAGGTGGCTCGGTCATGGGAGCCGTATGGATTCGACGCAAATAACGAAACAACTCTTATATGGTCAGCTGAATATTGGGAAGCGGCACGTGTGGAAACCAAGGTTTCCTTATCCAGACATTATCATAGTCAGCCTCTCACGTTCTAATCTTGATTGCAGGTCATAGGAGTCGAAGGCGGTTGATCAGCGTGCATGGCGCGATCTGATCACGAAAGCAATTGCCGAGGTGCAGGAGAAAGCCCTTATGCATGCAGAGAAGAAGCGGCAAGTACGGAAGCGGCAGAAGTCGGTGGGTTGTACTCTATCGACATCGAGCGCATGGTGGTGTAGCATATGCGGTGGCGAGTGTCTGAGTCAGGCATTCTTAGTGAGCCATGAGCGAGGCCACTCGGGACCACTACCGAAGCGACGACGGGTCCTGCAGAGAACGTAGACAGAATCAGCGCAGCGTTTGTAGGTATGCTGTATGCGATTTACTAACTGGTTGCTTGCATGCTGGTCTCTTTATTAGGTGGTGGAGCTGTTGTATTGTCTAATTGTTGCCTATGTGAAACATCTTCTATTAATAGGCACACATCGCTCAAGTATAGTTTACTTCGATAAGAATTACGCGTCCATGGCGTTGTGATGAAATATATTTTATGACGTCTTGAAAACAAGGCGGATACCTTGCAACCAATTTATTTCATATGCTCATTTATTAAAGAGTTAGGTCGGCATACCTGTATGCAGTATACGATTTATTCTATTTGATATGGTCGTTTCAAGTGATTGGCTGTTGCTTGATATCCCCGGTGTGACTGCGCTTGATATGCATGTTGACGAAGTACCTACATGTCTATTATCCACTATCTCGCCCATAGTGGCTCTAGGAGACCGCTGGTCGCTGATGGAGGAGACGGGATGCACGGTCCTTGTGGCCGTGTTAGGATCAAAGAGTGGTTCCATGCACTCAGTGTGGAATGGACTACGGTCTAGCCACCGCCTTGTGTGTGCTTGCTTCCCAAATACAATGTGCTTGTGTTTAGCTGTGAAGGACTGTGGGCCAACTCCATTGATGAAACGTGGCTCCCATCCACATGCCTCCCAGTCTTATTCCTTCGGGGTTACACGGGATATGGTGTGTATGGAAGGAGCTGTGGTTGGTGCAGCGCAAACCACCCATGTCCCTCTGCAGGCGCAGGCGTCCTGCGCCTATCCCCGTGAAGGCCGCAGTGTACAGGATGCTGCCAAAAAGATATCGATTTAAAGGCGACTCTTCAATGCACCTAATAGTGTTGAGTGTCAGCTGGACTCGACAACGCTATGACACCAGTGTCCGTCAGGGAGAAATGAACGTTACCGTCGGATGGTAGAATGAAAACTTGTTCCAACAAGGCTAGTTAGCATCGGATCTCGTCGAACACAAAATGCAGGATGCAAAACATTTCCAAACAGAATAAATCAACTTAGGTCCATCAGGTCCATCTTAACGATATTCAGCCTAGAGCTCATTATGGTGATGCAGAGTCAATATATACCCCATGTATCATAAAACAAACCACTCAATGCCGTTTTGCATGGTCCACAGCAATAGATGAGGTGGAATAGTAATTACACAATCATGTTAAACCTGTCGCTCTCAGTTTCATGTGTCGTTGTTATCCAATGGCGCTCCCATTTCTAGCTGTTGAGGCACTCGTCGAGTATCGTAATTTGTCTGCAAAGGCTTCATCACTAGTGATGCAATGCCAAAAGTGCAGAGCAATCAGTAATTGCAGTGAGGCACCGAAGAAAGTCTGCACATAGGACATCAGCGTAACACAGAAGTCATTGCCTCACTGCAAACGTTAGCAGAGATGACCGAAGACGCGTAAAAGCCAAGCAAATCACTGATTTTTAAAGGGGAAAGGGGAGGACAGTCAGATGACATCAAAAGGTCTCGGTTACCAATACGGTTAACCAGTAGTCCGTTAGGTGATTCCTGTATTTACAAACATCCTGTCTGCACAAAAGCCTGATAGTAAACGCGTATATACGCACAAAAACGTCGGTCATTCAATAGCGTGAGTAAAGCAATCGGTCCTAAGGATCACAAGCCCGCCACGTAATCTGAGAGCGCAGGTTCGAGCCTGCGTAAGGACCGGGCGACCGTCGCGATTTCCCTAGCCCACATGCGACTGGTGGTGATTGCGCGGCAGCGAAGCGTAGGTACTGCGTATCGGCGTACTGCTAATTTCTTTTATTTTTGAGGTGAGTAAAATCTAAGTTACATAGATGTTGTCCAAATTTAAAAGAAAGAAAACAATAGTATCTTTGTTAACAAACGCAATCAACTACACGTTGACAACAAGTAAATGGCAAAACTCACCCTTAGAATACTTCGTCTGTGGCAAACGCCAGAGTTGACGAGAGGTAAGACAACAGAGACGACGTCTTCGGCGAAGCTCGTACCATCGAAAAACGAACATGCAGAGCAGGCCGACGAAGAAGATTCCACATAGGCAAAAGACTGGTATGAGGTAAACTTTCAGGTCCCATGAACGATTAGAGTGTATTTCGACCACATAATCGCTGCACGCAAAGCATCCAACAGAGCAAAGTAAAAATGCGGGACAAAATAGGCATGTAATAGGCCACAAAGACGGAATGAATGCGCAGATGCAGGGAAAACAGAAAACCAGTTGCTTTACACAAGCAAATTATGAGCAGCATTAGTGACCACCATTAGCCTTGAGGCTAGAGATGAACGGGTCATCTCGTTCCCATCCAATGGAATCATGGTGTTCACTTAGACGGCATAATGCCGATGCATCTGAACCAATGAATAAACATTTCATTAACGCAGTGAGGTTCGTGAGCTAGAGACAGGGCGCGACAGTTTGGGAGCGGGCAGGCAATGATAGCGGAACTCCGGTCAAATGATGTCAGAATATAGCTATCTCGGTCGAACTAGTGATGGTAGCCAACAAGCGATAAGGATGGAACTGGGTAAGTCAAGCAACAGGCTGGCCACAAGGCCAACTAAAAGTTATCTCGGTGGATACGTAAGCTAAGCGAACAAATCTACGGGGACACAACAATAATGAAGATTGAGTTGCGTATACCAAAAATATTGATTGCGAAGCAACAGATAGAGGTTTCTTTGTGGTAATGAGCAATTGCGTTCGTGCTTACAAACGATATACAGGGTCAGAAATTAAACAAGTATGAAAACACGAGACTGCCTACAAAAGCCACTAAAAGAAATAAAAAAACTGAAAAAGTGAATCGTCTGTTGCGATTCCAACGACAACTGTGAGTAAGCTACGTCATACATGTTTACCGACCTCGCCTGATTGGATCACATTTCTCGCCTGCTGGCCGGTTGGATACTCGATCATGTATCATTGACCACTGCTATAAATGGTTCGGCAAAGCCCCAAGGTGGCATGAAACAGTTCATCAGACTGATGCTTGTCTTCTTACATAACCAGAACTGGTAGATCGGCTATACCAGTGATAGCAGATAGATGATTTGACACAGAAATGAGTAATGTTAAAATCCGTCGTCTGGTGTTTATCCACGGCGCTTCATTAGAGTGCCAGATAAATTCCAATCGCCTTCGGTACTAAGGTCATTCTCACCATATGCTTGCAAGCCGACCGTCCTACCGTGCACTGTTTGACAATATCGCGCCAGTTGGACATAACCCCAAGTTGGACGATTGATCAGTTGGGAAAGAGCACAGTGGAACTTATCGAAATTCTAGGAATTAGTTCTATTTGTGGTTGGATGCTTTGCCGTATATGGTGCAGTCACGAAGTCAGTAGCAGTTATGCATTCGTTCCGCAATTTTTGGTACTTAACAATCAAGTGTGGTGGTTTGACTTTTCGTTCTTGAATGATCAGTATTGTTCTGGAAACAACATAAAACACCTGACAGATTGAGACCTCTCTGAAACCATGACATCTGCCAGTTCTAAACATCTTTCAAGTGTTGGAATTATACTAACGTGAATACGGTGACACGATGTATAGCAACTGGATATATCGCATTACAGGGCGTGCAAAACATCCGCCGAAACGAGACAAAACCTTAACGTGGTGCGACAGTTTGCGTACCTTTCCGACCCACTGAGCTATACTGGGTGGTGCCTCTGCGCACCTTGAGAGTCACTCCTACTGGGTTGGTCATTGGTGAGAGGTCCTCCAGGTTGGGGGTTTGAAATGGGATGGCGTCTATTTCTGTAAAACTAAATCACTGCCACCTCACCGCTGCCTTCCGCACAGGTGTTTAGGCCAAACGCTTTGGATGAAGACCCTAATCGTCCGCTTGTCTAGGTCTAGAGGCCCTGGCAGTATCTCAGCCTACACAAAACCATGACTTTTTCTTCAAACATAAACTTCATCCTGCATCGGTCGTCACGCAGATTATCAAGGATTGCCTTACCTGCTGCATGCAGCAGGGCGGATAAGCGAAAACATGCTACTGCTGGCGCCTCCTTTCTTTTCCATCTATTTCTCTTACTTCCAGTCCGAGCCCGATTACTAAGCTTCCTTCTTTACTTTCCAGCTTAATTGACAGCAACCGAAGCGCCACTGGAGTGGAATCATCCGCAGCCACCTTCCTACAACACCAATCGGACGCCTATCGGCAATAGTCCCTTATAAGGTCACGCTGTCCCGTTTCCATGGCGACGTTCAACGTTCGCACTCTAAGACAAACAGGTCAACAGCCTGCACTCGTACGCATCTTGGACACACCGGATATTGAGGTGCTGTGTGTCTGAAACTAGAATCAATCACCATAGTGGGGTGGTTGAATTAACTGCACCCGGATTATCCTCTCATTATTGGTTGTACGCATCCGCAGACGCCGATACAACACTCACTTGCAGAGCAGCGAACCAGAAATTCGTGGGACCGGGGTTCGATTCCCCGTCGAGGCAGATTACTGAGTAGAGTTTGATCGTGACTTCTACTTTCTACGACCCTTACGCTACTCACAAACATCCTTCGAGTAATCTACAATCGCCCTTTGGACTTCAGAAGAACAGTTACTTCGGTCCATTAGGAAGTGACGAGTGAGTGAGCCAACCTGCAACACCAGGACAGTTACTGTCAGCTCATTGGCAATACGTCTCGCACCAAACAGAAGTCATGTATTAAGTTGCGCACCTAATCGTCATCCCTCGGTAGCTCAGTGGTAGTGCAGCGGACCGGGAATTCGTAGGAACGAAGTACGATTCCCCGTAGAGGCAAAATATTGTGTGGAGTTTAATCGTGACTTCTACTATCTATGAACCAATGTCCGTCGATGGGATTCCGGTGAACAGCCGTTTACATCCAGGCCGTTTGACGACATCAGTTAAGGTTGATTCACGAAATAGTACAAAACGCTGTTTGTTTGTGATTTCCGCTTATGCTCCCGCTGACTGCAGTTTTAATGCTGTCAAGGACACATTCTATCACGAACTGAACGCCTTACTACGCAGTGCTACTAGTTTAGATATCATAGTACTTGCAGGGGATATGAACGCACAAGTAGGGTGTGTAAGCTCTTCAGAAACTCAGCTGGGTGGTAATAATGAGCTTAACACCGAATGAACTGACAGCGGCGAGCGTCTGCTGCAACTGTGTGCGGAGCACCAGTTGTTTCTTAGTAGCACTGAGTTTAGACACCGTGGACGCCGAAGTGCCACTTGACGTCCTCCTGTAGCTGGTCAGCGATGGACCCAATTTGACCAAATAGTCATAAATTTCACATGGCGTGGTTCCATCCTGGATTGCCGCTCATACTGGAGTACCTGTGTCGATCCTTTCCATGACGTGGTACGCTGTCGTTTCTCCATAAATTTTACCGGGAGGCGCACCAAGCGTCTTCTCCGAATGGCAACTGGGAAATTGTCTCAGCCCTCGGTCAGGCAAGCCTATCAAGACGCATTGCATAATGAATTTTCACTGTCGTGTTCTAATGACACTGGGCTTTAGTGGAATAGCACCTCGGCCGCCATGCACGACGCAGGAGCACCCGCTTGTGGCACTACCATTCGTCACCGCACCAGTCACTGAATATCCGAGAGGTCGGTGAACTTGTCGGAATCTGAAGAAACCTCCCGGCTGGCTCTGAGTACAATGTGACCAGACGGGTTATTAGGCGCGAACTAAAGCGGAGCCTGGTGGACAATTCAGGCTCAAGAAGTGGAGGAGGCAGGAGCAGTAGGCAATTACCGCAAGATCTTCCAGCTAATCCGCACCAATGATCCCAGGAAACCAGGCATCAGTGAGACAATCAGAGACAGCGCTGGTGCACTAGTACACAATAAGGAGGGCCGTATAGCTTGTTGGACGGAACACTTTCATGATCAGCTAAGCTAGGCCCTGCTCTTGGACCTCTTCCTATTCACGTGATATAGAACGACCTATGGACGGTTAGTTTAAAGCCTCTCTCGGAGGCCGAAGTCCGAAACACGATCATAACCCTCAATCGTTTCCGTGCCGCTGACTCGGATTCCCTCCCACCTGCACTATTTATGGATGGAGGTGAGGTCCTCTGCAAAGCACTGACCTTCCTATTCCAACGTATCTGGAAAGAAGACAGTGTCGCGGCTAATCGGTGCGAATCGATTATATTGAAAATATATAAGATGGACAGTCGCACAGACTGTTTTGACCACAGAGGTATTAGCTAACGCCAGTTGTGACAAAATTATTGACTTCGATTCTCGTTCGTCGCCTCACGTTGGAACGGGAATCTCGTATTAGGGAAGAGCAGGCAGGTTTCCTCCAAGGACGGGGCTGTATAGACCATATATTTACTTTGCGGCTGGTGCTAGAGCAGCGCCACGCATACCGCAGATCGACCATAGCCGTGTTTCGCGATTTCAAGAGTGCGTTCCATTCATTCGATCGATCGATTCTGTTTGACATACTTACGCGGATGGGTATTCGCACGAAATAATGTGAACATCCTTCGTACTCTATACTCGAACACTATAGCCCGAGTCAGGGTCTACGGTGGCCTATCTGATAGCTTTCCGACCACAAGTGGAGTTCGTCAGGGTCGTCCGATTTCCCCATTTTAGTTCAATTTCGTCGTGGATTCAATCCCGGAGTGTTCCCTTGCAGAATCTCAAGGTGCAGGCGTTGAAGTGCTGCCTGGTGAAGGATTAGTTGAGCTTGATTATGTGGACGATATCGTCTGGCTTTTCGACGAAGTTGCAGCGGCGCAGTTAACCCTGAATAGCTTCCCTAGAGTGGTCCCATTATTTGGTATGCACTTCGCACCTACAAAATGCAGTGTTGATGCAGCACCACCAACCACTTTATCACCCCTCGACCCTTGATAACGAGGAACTCGAGGTGATTGATCAATCCACTTATCTTGACAGCTGCATCAGCAAGGATGGACGAATAGAAACTGACGTCAACTCACACATTGCAAAAACCATAGCTGCCTTCTTGAACCGGCGGCATCTTTGGCAACAGAACAGAGTTTCCATCTGTCTGATAGGCCGTGTATACAAGGCAACTGTAAGGGCCGTTCTGCTCTATGGTAGTGAGACGGCCCCTTCAGTCTGAAGATCTGAGA